AGAAATTGTAATTACATGAATGAGTAAGGATGAATGAGAGACTGTTGAAAAGATGGGAGAGAGAGAGAGAGTGATTGAGAGGGGATTATTATTGTTCACTGGGTTAATCTGTCAGTGTAGTAAACAGCAGTAATCTGATGGCCCACTGGACACAACTACCCGGGGGAACAGTGAACCTCCTAACAGATGGCACCACACTCACACACACACACACACACACACACACACACACATGAACACACATAAACATACAGCGCATGCAGCTTCACAACTACACGCACGTTTTCAGTCGAGCAGAAAATAAACATGTGTACAAGTGGACAGATGGAATAAAAGTATTCTTCACAGAGGAACACTAAAAAGCATGTATGGGTCTATAAGTTTGTATACACATATTATACACTGTGAACAGTGAATGCACACACACAAAACTACCATTGTGGATTTTTTCAAAGATGCCACGAAAACAAAGTTCTTGGGAACTAAATTATTTTGTAAATTATTTTCCCTAATTTAGAGACCCTCACCTGATCACACATGACCATTATTTCTCAGTGGCATATTACGCATGATGATTATGGGAACATACTACAATGAAGTATAATGATTTTAAATACATAAACATTTATTTAAAGTAAATGAGAAAGTATTTCCACAATAACCTGAACACAGTCTGACATTTTCAATCCATTCAAACTAAAATTCTGTATGTCACTGCTACTTCCTGAACACAAACAATTTAAAAGCTCCTAATGATGTTTGGCCACTGCCCAAAATGAATAATGAAACATAACAAGTTCAGCAATCCAAACACGGAGTCTAATGAAGCTTAAAATATGTTCACATTTGATAAATTCCTCATACATTTTATAGTGTTTCACCCAATCGCCACCGATCCACTGTAAATCAGAATGTACATTTTTATGACTCAGCTCGCCCAGTCCGTGGTTTAACCGCTGTGCCCGTGGATATAACTGCAATTCACACATCAGCAGCATCAATAAACAAAGTCACTTTTGGTCATTTATGAACGCTAAGAGACAGAAGCAACATTTAGGATCGAAGAAGGTAGAGCAACGGTGGCAGGTTCACACACAAAGGTGTCAAAACACAGGTTTAACTAAAATGTCCAAATAGGCTCATCGTTCAGGAGCAAGCACAGAATAGACGTGTCGCTGTCAGCCATATTACTAGTGTTGATGGTCTTCCGGCAAGTGTTGTTGTCACAGTGAGGGATTGTTTGACCAAAGCAACCCTTATGCCTATAACATTCGACTAGTCTTTGTTACATTGGTCATGTGACAATGTGACAGGCACTTTTCTAAGGCAGAGATGGAGGAGCTGTGGTACACACAATTGGCGTTAAATGGAAGATTCATTATGAAAAAAACATATTGTACTAAGAACATAACGTGAATGGTTAATATATCTTCTATTAGAGGCCCAAAATTTGATATTAGTAAGAGTCTATTTATTACCATATGTATATAATGAATCCATAAGAAAAATGCATATTGAACATGCACTCACATTTTTCCACATACATGTATAAGGAAAAGTTCATGACTTATGTAAACGTTGATTACATATAGGCATTCATAAAAATTCTCATGTGCACACGCTCTGAAGTAAAACAGGACCAGTGCACACAAACAGATTTATATAGGTAAGAGGATGTAAAACAAGTCTGGCAGTATGTTTGGTTGATGTCAACAAGCCATCACTCACCCAGCTTTTCATCCACTGAGAAAAAAAAAAACATACAGTAAGCAGCATAAAACAGTCATCAAATCAGTGTGAAACCACTTGGTCTAAACTAATCCACATAAGAGCTTTCCCAAAATAAGTCCCCGCTCATCAGGCAGAGTTAAACAGAATCTGAATCTCAATATGTTTATTTCCACACTATATTTGTATTAGGGTTACATGGTGGTGAACAGTGTTGTGCCAGTTCACGCTTAAAAAGAACTAGTTATACATACAGCTGATACAGCTGAAAACGAACTAGTTCACGTTCATTCGTTCCATTTTTTTTAAATGAATAAAGGGTGATATTCTTTTTCAATAGAACTTCCTTCTACCCATCCATCACCAACCCCAAATCATTGCCACTCCCAAACTAAATGAATCATTGTATGCCACTGACACAGACATTAGTTATATTTAAAATCCGTATATAAATATAGTCATGCTGGGCCGTGTCTATGGAGACGTCATGCGGCGCGCCATAAAACTGTCGTAAAATGTGACTCTCACGTCATGTTCACGTTCATCATTTGTAAACAGATTTGTTCAGTTCAGCGTTCACTAAAAATATGAAAGTGTTGAACGTTCATGCACAACACGCGTTCATCTGCCTGATGAACAAATGTCAAGTCTTAATGTGTCGCCAGTAGAAAGTCTTCACCCATTTAGCTGCACACCGTGGAAACGCCTCCCGGAAATGTCTGAGTTTAGTCTTAAAGTAAAATTAAAATGAACTTCATAAGGTTAAACAGGCTGTTTAAATTCTCAAAACTGATGAAAAAGATTTCCCTCCAGCACTGGATTCATTTAATTACCCATACTTCACTTTAGTCACCCTGCTTCCTAAATCCAATTAGCATGTAATAAGTTGTCTTAATGTGTCTGTGCTTCTAAAAACACATTCATCTGTGGTTGCATTGTTCAGATCTACATGTTTCCCTGCTGGGCTACGATTGATTTCCTGTGTCTGCTTGGTCTTTTTGCCAAACTGCTTTCTTTTTCTTTGTCTGACGGAAGGGCAGTGGAATCAAGGAAAATATAGACATTCAGCTGTCTGATGCATGATTCATGAATTCTTGGTCACTATATTTTAAAGACATGTAGCTCCAGCTTCCCATTACACTGCAAGTAATGTGGAAAGAAACCCACAGTCATTTTGAGGGCAAAACAAGGGTTCCACCATTCACCCAAAGCTCATATGTCTGCACAGCATTTTATTAACCCTAACCCTTATTAATTAAATCAGGTGTGTTGCCATTTTAGCGTCCATCTGTTAACTCCTCATGCTCTACTCCTGTTAATGATAAAAGTGACCATAAGTTGCTGAAACAGAAATTGCAATTTCCCATGATAAACTATTGTGACATCACATTAGGTTTGTTTGAACAATGTAAAGTTTTGGTTGTGATGCAAATTTTATATTTTTCCCATTTGAGTTTAGTTGATGATTTGGCAAGCCTTATTATGGTAATATAACTTTCTGCAATGCATTGGGTTTCCACTGGTTCAACAAAAAGATTTTTTGGTACAGTCCTCCAGACAGGGAGTTTGATAAATTCCCTTTGGGAGGTAAAAGAATAAAAATAGGAACACACAGGAACACTGTAAAAGTAATAAAAGTTTACATCAGGGCCTTAGTGGAAACCTCAACAAAAAAAAAATCAGTGTTGGGTGTAGTCCTATGTGGCAAAGTTTAATATTGAAATAAAAACAACATGTACTCTCAGCAGGATTTGTAGATTTAAAAGAGGGTGGGTTCACATCCTGCCTTTCATTCTCACATACTCCTGTTTCTATGGGAGCTGTTGTGGTGAGCTGAGCAGCTGGCTGACATTTTATTTCTTTGCTAGAAACCCTCAGGATGTTCATTCTGGAGCATAGAAACAAGAAAGGACCACACACACACACACACACACACACACACACCAACCAACAACAACAACAACAACTCCAGTATGATTATTTGAAGGCTTAGCATAGTATTATTTTTAGGCTGATGTTCACCCTCATAATGCTCAAGCTACTCTACATCACCCTCATACACACTCACTGATCAACATTAAGACAAGGAAGTTGTTCTCACCCTCCTAAAATAGTATTTAATCTGATCATTCTAGAGACTCGAAGCTTTGCAACAATATTTAATTATTCATATTTAGTTACTTTCCTGCTGCTATAGCTCACTAATACAAATGCACAGTTATCTGCATATTTTGGACTGAAGTTGTTAAAAGCCTGTATGCAGGATTTTTTAACTTAACTTTAACTTAAAACTCAATAATTACAAATAGTTAATGTAATCCCTTCACATTTTTCTTCTTGACGAGTTGACATCCCATCTGATATCTTGGAACTCTGCTGCTCAGAATAGTGAAATTATAATCACAGAAAGCTACAGGTTTTTAACACTGCATGAACACATGTCATCATGTGTTCATGCAGTGTTAAAAGAAAGTCTTTACACTACACACTAATGTAGGACATTGGTGTTTATGAATATCCCAAGATGCACGTCACAGTTACTGGCATATTTTTTTTTCCATCCTGTGTCCTGAATGATCCTTTCTCTCTCTGTCTCTCTCTCTCTCTCTCTCTCTCTCTCTCTCTCTCTCTCTCTCTACCTTCTCGCCCTTCCATTTCCCTCGATCAAACTCTCTCCTAACAGTTTTCAGATTTGTTTGTTTTCAGATGCTATTTTTCCTGCTCCTCTCAGACACAGCAGCGTTCTCTGTGCTGTGAATGTCAGTAGCCTAAATAGCGGTGGTGTAAATTGCAGTTCAAGTGGAGCTGTTGAGACGGGCCTGTGCTCTAATGATGCCACATCTAATCAGGAAGTGTCAAGTTCCCCTCCTCACACCAGGGGATTACATCTAAATTTGGATCTCAATCTAGATGTTTTGACTGGGTCTAAATATGGAAGCAAAAACGGGATTTAGGCAGTGAAACATGTTCTTACAATTATTGTATTATTGATCAGTGGTAATCCTAAGTGATAAACTGTTATTGCAGCTCCAAGTAGGATAGTGAAGGGATTCTTTGGCCCGACTTTCTTGCCTTTTCTCTCAGGTGATGAGTCCCTAAAATAGATAGACTTGGTTTGGACTGTGTCTGAGTGTCGGGAAGACGTCCTCTTGTGCTGCAGTGAGAATAATAAAGAGCGTCAGCTGTTAAAAAAATGAAGTAATGTGTTCATGTATATGTATTTATTATATGACAGGATGACACTCAGTGATCCTGTGTTTGTGTGTTGACAGTATGGACGGTCGGACAGCTACCGCGTGGCCACCACGCAGGACAAGGATGAGAAGGAGTCACCCAAGAAGAAGGGAGGCAAGGATCTGGATGACCTCAAGAAGGAAGTTCCCATTGTACGTACACTGCCTCCTACTTCTGTGACCTCACTGACATATCCTGAAACTGAACAAGTTGCCCCAATGCTTAACACTATAGTGGTTTCATATGTCTTGAATCTACCAGTTTGAGGGCACACGAGTACAGAAAAACCTCATTTAAATTCAAAACACAACTAGTTGTCTTCATAGACAGAATCAACAAAAGCCTCGAAGTCCCAGCTGAGTGGTGAGGAGTTCATAGATACTACATACTACAGATAGTACATCCTGGCTTCACTCCAGCTTTCGAAGAGCTAGCATCCAGCTGTAATCTAATCTCCCTGTTTGAAAAGGAGAATACAGAGACGTAGTAGGCCTATTTCATAGCAGCTGGTGCACAGTAGTGGTACAGTGTGGTTTGAGGTAATATGCCAGAGCAATTTAATCCTGTTGTGGAAATCCATTTTCCCCTGCATGGGGCAGGAAGCCAAACCCACAGGATATCCCTTTGATATAAAATCATATGAGCTGGTTCAGATAAACAAAGTGATTTCCATTATGTCATAGATCAATCCTGAAAAAATCTACAACTTCTTTTAGGGACATTTGTAAAGTACAGAACATTCATTTTTATTAAACTTATCACCACCAAGGACCCAGAACAGAATGTGGGGTTCTGTAATCAACAGTCATCTGCATTTATTTCTTGGTTTCAATTCATTTTCTGTTGTCAGTTTTGCAAATGATAAATACATAATGTTGGAATTTAAAACATGATACCAGAATGCTTGCAGTAAAATTCAAATTATTTTAAATGTTTACATTTTTGGATAGTATATTTAGATAATGTATGATTTAGTTTGAATATAACTTTGACTTGGTTTGATAATTGAGTTTTAAGTTGACTTTCTCTTTTCATTCGTTGTAGACGGAACACAAAATGTCTGTTGAGGAGGTTTGCAGGAAATACAACACTGATATCGTCCAGGTGAGTTTTTGAACTTTTCTTTGATCAGCTGAGATTCATTGGATTGTTTCTGCCCTGATTTAACACAATGCTAATGATTCAATAGTTCACACTGATATATCCCTGTCATTACACCTTTTTTAAAAATCTATTTAGATTTTGTAGTTTTCATTTTATACAAATATGTCCCATTCAGAACACAATTTTACTTTAACTTCTTCTCTATCCCTGCCTCCATTTCTACTGCCCTCATGCATCTGCTCATTTACTTCTCTTTTAACCCATCTTTTCTCCCTCGTTGTTTCTGTCCATTCCCTCTTTCCCTCTCAGGGTTTGACCAATGCTAAGGCAGCAGAGTTCCTGGCCAGGGATGGCCCCAACGCCCTGACTCCACCCCCCACAACCCCAGAGTGGGTCAAGTTCTGTCGCCAACTGTTCGGTGGCTTCTCCATCCTGCTGTGGATTGGTGCCATCCTCTGTTTTCTGGCCTACGCCATCCAGGCAGCCACAGAGGACGAGCCTGCTGGGGATAACGTAAGTGCAAGTTCGTAGTGGATGGATGGATGATGATAGAATAGAATATATTCTCAGTCCACCACCACTGCTGCAGACGAGGCTTGATGATTTGAAGTGAAGCAGAGCTGCTAAAGTTACTAGATATAAATAGAATTTACTTAAAATAAAAAGATCAGTACCTCTGAGAAGCTGGGTATCAGAAACCACTGAAGGAGGATAGAGAAGGGTGCATTTCTTGTAGTCTGTGTGTTCCATGTCCACCAGCAAATCACTTTACAAAGCAATTTTCTGAGTCACTACTCCTGAGGGATGAGGCTGTGTCAGTGATAAAAGATGTGTCAGCTGTTTGTCCAAATCATGCCAGCAGACTCATCTTTAGAGTGACAGACACCATCCTGTTAGCATCATTTTTGGGCCCGCCAAAGGGAGCATATGACTCCTGGCATCGGTAATGGCAGGGTAAGAGAAGGGCGTTCACGGGTCAACACTGTTTCATGTCGGGTCATAGAGCATAGTAAAGCTGCGGACTGAGGCTAAACGGCTCAGACACGCAGCATCAAAGGACAAAATACTTGGTCCGGACCACAGGGGAGGACTCAGGGTGAAACAACAACAGTGATGAGTCACCATGAGTGACGGAGACTATATCACACACACCCAGAGAATAACTTCACACTCCAATAACCTGCCACAGTCATGTCAGATGTTACAGGACATACAGTGAGTGTTGCAGGATTTAGACCCTCTAATGGTGATCCTTTAAAACATGAGACGATAGACACACCAGCACAGTCATAAACCCACTAACAGATGTAGACAGCAAACAGACGGACAGCCTCCAAGTCACTGAGTCCACATTAAACCACTTGCTATTGCGGTTGTCAGCTACAGGATGTGAAACAGGAATGAAGGGCTTGGATGATTTGTTTCTAGAGTTTAAACTTTACAGGAGCATCAGCTTCCTGAAATATCTTCTTCACCTCTCACCGTCTAAAGTTCAGTGTTTCATGTCAAAATATCTGACTGATGATTTATTCTCCGTCTCTCTCCTGTGGTCTATTTTTCTCTTTCCCTCCTCTCATGTGATGCATTTTTAGATAAAGGTGAAGTCGCTTAATTAATTTCTGCATTAAATATGAAAGTCTCATCCCTTTCTCTTCCTCCTCTCTCTGTCTCTGTCTCTGCCTCTGTAGTTGTATTTGGGTATTGTGCTGTCAGCTGTCGTCATCATCACCGGCTGCTTCTCCTACTTCCAGGAAGCTAAGAGCTCAAAGATCATGGAATCCTTTAAGAACATGGTCCCTCAGGTAACAGACACCTAACAGTCCTACACGAGGATATCATGGGGAATTTTTTCTGACAATTTCTGCGAAAAGTGCCAATTTTTTTTAAAGGGTTATTACAGAAAGTTGCAGCTTTGTAAGGCAACAGAGGGTTTTGCAAGAAGGACTAACAAGATACCAAAGTCCACCTTGTCAGATTCCTCAGCAGTGATTGAAAGGCATTGATTTCAATTTCCTCAAAAAAAGAAAGAAAAAGAAGAAAACTTGTATTTTAAACGTAATGTCATACAAAGGTCTTGTTATGTGATATTTAATTAAATTTAAAAAAAGAAAATTAAAAAAATGTAATAAAATGTTTTTGAGATTTTAGCCAAAACACTGGATGAAAAATTCCCAGTATTATTGTTCCAGACCCTGAACTTATACAAAATATGTGGCACTTATACTAATTAGATATTTTTTTCATTAGATAATCCATCTATCCATCCATTTTCTGCGGTCATATTCCCATGCAGGTTGTGTTTAAAGATAATATGAGAAATTATTGTTATATACTGCTGGGAGGTGTCACACAAATGTCAGTAAATTCATGCACTTGGGAAATAATTCTTGGCCAGATCATCACTCGTGGTTTTCACTGATGCTTTGGCTGGTATGACCCAGGTTTTAAATTCCTGTGTAGTATTAAAATTCTCTTTAAAAGTCTTGAATTTGACTTTGTGAACCCTGCAGAAACCCAGTTGTGATAATCTTTAGTGAAAATGCTGATTAAAAAATCTACATGAAAAAATCTAAGTAGAAGAAGAAATTTTTAGGTTATAGAAAAAGAAAACAATGTTTTTAGATTTGTATAGCCTTTAAAATTAAATTAAAATAAATCAGTTAACTGTGATATGATTCTGAAAGATTTAAAGTCCCATAAAGAAGCATGTAATATTTCCAATTATTGTTAAAAGGCATGTATCACGATAATAGAAGATGGTAATAAAAAAAATCTTATTTTGAATGAAATCTACAGTAATGGTGGTTCAACACATAAAACGAACACATATTCCACTCATACATTCCTATAGGTGTGTAGAAATCTCCTTAGAGGAAACTTATTCTACTTCATCTTCTCATTTGAAAATGTCAACGACAGAGTTGTTGGTTTTAGGCTAAGGTAAAATAGTAACATTCCTGGTTTGAAAGCAAGCAGGGTGTTTTTTTTACATTGGGCTCCTAAGTCATGCAGGTGTCTTTTAAGTGGAAAGCTCTATTTTTATGACAGTATCATACTGTCACAGTTTTCATGTTATTCCTCTGATTTCCTTATCCACCTTTCAATTACTTTAGTTTTTACTCTTTACCACTTCATCTCTGACCTTTCTGTAAATAGTGTCTTTACAGATATTTTTGTTATTTTTGGAAAAAGGCTTCAACTCTGTGATAGCTGGCTATGCTCTTTTCTATTTTTTAATGTTAAACAAAACAAGAAGATAGGTATTAAAATATACAGTAAGTAATTCCCATAAAAAGAATCTCTCTCCCTCTGTTTCTCTTCTTCTCTTTCTCTCTCTCTCTGTTCTCAGCAAGCCCTGGTGATCCGTGAGGGAGAGAAGATGCAGATCAATGCTGAGCAGGTGGTGGCAGGAGATCTGGTGGAGGTGAAAGGAGGAGACAGGATCCCCGCTGACCTCCGCATCATCTCCTCCCACGGCTGCAAGGTGAGATGCAGGCACAGATGCACTCCAGTAATTATACAGACCCAAGGAGACAACCGCAGTAAGGTGTCTCTAGAGAATCAAGTTTCCAGTCTCAACATCAAGTAATCAGAGTGAGAGTGATTCATTTCATCACACATGAGGTTTCAGCTCATTCACTTTCAGTGGCCAAGAGTAAAAATGTGATTGCACAGTAGAAGTCAGTGAATGTGTAAGTAATAGTAATATGAGTTTCTGTCAACTCTTTGGAAATCCACCTGATGTGTTGTTTGATAATTTATTAACTAAAACAAGCACGTCATCTTCACAGTGCTTCACAAGCTATAGATAAACAGATGAGTTGTTTACTTTTATGCTAAATTCATACAAACTTTCAGTGTTTCTGCAGGTTCTTATATGAATTTTAATTCAGTCTCTGAATGTTTGCTCCAAAGACATTTTTATGAAATGTAATGTGTGTATAAAAACACGAGAAAGAGCACCACAAACAAGAATTCATTATTCATTAGCACAGGAGGTATGAATGAAGAAAATCAAAACACTGAAAATACACACAAGCCGTCTCTCTGTCTGGCTTTGTGTGTAGTCTTACCATCTATTCACTGAACCAGGTACTCACTGCTTTATCTTCTTTGTCACTCTGTCCAGGTGGACAACTCATCCCTGACCGGGGAATCAGAGCCCCAGACCAGGTCACCTGACTGTACCCATGACAACCCCCTGGAAACCCGCAATATTGCTTTCTTCTCCACCAACTGTGTCGAGGGTAAGGTCACCATCTCCATCGTCGCTGCACAAACACAAATCATTATTATAACATCACTGTGCGTATCATCCACTGTTTGGGCTTCAACTTTTCTTCTCATAGAAACATTTCATATGTGTGTGTGTCTGTGTGTGTGTGTGTTCACTCATATGTGTGTTTGTATTGTTCTGGTTCAGTGCTCAGACAGTTCGGCAAACAAAGACGCTACACATTAGCTTTCATGAAAGTGTTCGGTCTGACTGAGCATCAGTGACATCACTGGTCATCAGAAGAGCCCTAGGCCTTGAAGTGTGACCTCATGTAAACTTGTACTTATGTCTTTCCAATGCAGCCTGTTCAGTTCATGATAAGACAGGAAGGCCTTATAACTGACACTATGCTGCTCACAGTGGTAGATTGGAAAAGAGTGATATATGGTGCCCCCTCATGGACTCACTGTTACATTACATTAAGACCCTCAAGTCCTGCACTCTCCTTCTAACCATCATTGCTCAGTCAAACCTGTGCATCCATTCATCTTTACCCTCCATCTTTATATTTTATTCTTGTTATTTCTGCCACTGTTTTCCTCTTATTTTCTCATAAAGATCATTTTTTAAACCCTGCTCTCTCTGCTCTCTTCCTCCAGGAACAGCTCGTGGTATCGTTGTGTGTACCGGCGATCGTACAGTGATGGGCCGTATCGCCACCCTCACCTCAGGCCTGGAGACTGGCAAGGTGACATTCATTATTATTAATTATCTGACAGTGGTCTTTTGTGTCTTTTACAGGCCAAATTATGGAGGTTGCTTGCTAGAAACAGGCTTTTTTGTTTAATTTTTGTTTAATGCTTAATGTAAAGACAACAGCTTATCTAAGAAGTTTTCTAACATAAGTGTCCTGGATCAACTGATCAACTAATAGCTGCCAAACCATAAGGAAATATCATGTGCCTGAGCTTCAGTGTCTAGAGTTTTTAGTAAATTCTAGTTTCTTTGTTTCATTCAGTGTAAACTAATTATTTAGACAGAATAGAACAGAATCTACTTCAGTCAATCTAAATATGTATTCTCCTCCTCAGACGCCCATTGCCAAGGAGATTGAGCACTTCATCCACATCATCACGGGTGTAGCCGTCTTCCTCGGTGTGACCTTCTTCGTCCTCTCAATCATCCTCGGTTACAGCTGGCTGGAGGCTGTCATCTTCCTCATCGGTATCATTGTGGCTAATGTGCCTGAGGGACTGCTGGCCACAGTCACTGTGAGTTGGCAGAGAAATAGGAAGCTAGTATAGTAGTTTAGTTTAGTTTTTTTAATTGGTGAGAGGAACTGAACTGTTAGTGTTCTAGTGTGTGTCTGTGTTTACAAGGCTGTTGTTCATTTGTATGATTCCCTTAAGCTGTTGTTTTCGTTGTTTTTTTTGTGTGTGTGGTTTTTTTGGGGGGTTTTTTGTGTGTTTTTTTGTATGTTCTCTCTCCTCAGTTCCTCGTGTTTTGTGTGGACTTGGGTCAAACCCTGTTTTCATTTGCTTAATTTATTAGAGAAATCTAAGAAACTATGTAAAATCAGAAAAAATACATTATTTTTGATACAGTGACATCTTTCCAAAACAGCTTTCATATGTTTTAAATGACATGAAACACTTAACACTAGAGGACCCTTTATCTATTCAAACAGCAACCAACTCAAGTCCACTGACATTAAAACTAGACATTATTTATAGTTAGTTTCATCCCATAAATGAGCTACACTTTTTGTACATTTTGTGATTAAGAGACTGATCTCGCACTACTAATGTTACATATCACTCATCAGATTCCCTGAAGCTTGATTGTGTGCTCTCTGTATGTGTTGGTGTAAATGTGGATATTTTGTGTTGTGTACAGTGTTGTGGCTGATGTTGTCTCATTGTGTTGCTGTTTGTCTTTGACCCTGCTTCTCTTTTCTTTGTGCTTGTGTGTTTCCTATGGTTTGTGATGTTGCTGTATGTCTGTGTGCATTTGTGTGTGTGTGTGTGTGTGTGTGTGAGAAGATTTTTTAGTAAATTCTAGTTTCTTTGTTTCATTCAGTGTAAACTAATTATTTAGACAGAATAGAACAGAATTACTTCAGTCAATCTAAATATGTATTCTCCTCCTCAGACGCCCATTGCCAAGGAGATTGAGCACTTCATCCACATCATCACGGGTGTAGCCGTCTTCCTCGGTGTGATTCCTTCGTCCTCTCAATCATCCTCGGTTACAGCTGGCTGGAGGCTGTCATCTTCCTCATCGTATCATTGTGGCTAATGTGCCTGAGGGACTGCTGGCCACAGTCACTGTGAGTTGGCAGAGAAATAGGAAGCTAGTATAGTGTTTAGTTTAGTTTTTTTAATTGGTGAGAGGAACTGAACTGTTAGTGTTCTAGTGTGTGTCTGTGTTTACAAGGCTGTTGTTCATTTTGTATGATTCCTTAGCTGTTGTTTTCGTTGTTTTTTTTGTGTGTGTGGTTTTTTTGGGGGGTTTTTTGTGTGTTTTTTTTTTTTGTATGTTCTCTCTCCTCCAGTTCCTCGTGTTTTGTGTGGACTTGGGTCAAACCCTGTTTTCATTTGCTTAATTTATTAGAGAAATCTAAGAAACTATGTAAAATCAGAAAAAATACATTA